AAACCAAGTCAGATCAGAGTCAAATACAGAGGGTCCATAAGAGTAGACAAACAGTCAATGCAATACACAGTCGGAGCATAAAAGGCAGTCCAAGATGGGTCCAAACGCAGGCAGGGAATCGCTGAAAAAATAATCCAAAAAGCAAGGTGATGATCAATAAAGGAAAGTACATGAACTGTGATGTCAAATTGAGAGAGTGCAGCTGTTGTCTTGCAGCAAAGAAATGGCCTTGGCTGTACTAATTTATAGCTAGCTGTATCAGCAAAGCTGGCCTAATTATTTCAGCATTTCCCCTTTAAAGCACACCAAAATGTTTCCTACTTTTTTGCTACTGGTGCTTTAGTCTTTGTTGTTCAAAAGGGTGCAGTGGTACTGCCTTCTGATTTTCAGAAACTACATAGTACTGCAGGCACCACTTCCAGGGGAAGATTGTCAGTACCCCTAGTTCTGATTGGAACCTATCATCTGGGCTCTCCCCTTCTCCTTTTACCAGAAGAAGTCTCCTCCTGGCAGGACATGATATACTGAACGGGTAGCAACCAGAAGCATAGTCATCTGATGCATCACCAGACACAACCAGAGGCCTCATTATTCTCCCCTTCATGCATTCACTGCACGTGTACCTATGTGGCAGGGTGAAGACTCTCATCTATGCATGCTTCTTTGGTCACTTCTGTCATTTTGAATCAAATATTACAGTATAGGTTAATAGACAATACAGAATCACTGAAAGATGCTGCAAGTTTTGCATATCTATGCCAATTCATTTATAATTTCTGTGCCTTCGGCTAATATTTCTCACTCTTAACAGGGAGAGAGAGAAAAAGAGAGAGAGAGGAAAAGAGAGTGCACATACATTTTAATATAATTGAGAATAGGTTGGAGACTCAATTCTGGGATGGAGTGGTAATTAAAATTCCAGTCACACCATGCCTACAATCACAGCAATAACACTGTACATGCACTCATTAAGGAAACATTCAGTTAGTCACTTTGCAATCAGGTTTAAAATGATTTTCCTCTCTCTATAGTGGATTCCCACAAGCCTACTCTTGTACTAAAATAAGAAATAAATAATTTGAAAAAGAGTAAATGTTTATTGAACACATTTGGATCTAACTCAATCAAGTGTTTAGTTGTGTACTTGTTAATATCACATCTTTAAAAAGATGAAAAAGAGGAACAGAGTTTATTTTTCACTTCAGTTCTCAGGCTCCCTTGTCTCCTTTATTTCCAGAAAGGGAGTTTCAAATTAAATGTACTGTGATCATAAGGATGATTATTCTGAAATAGGTTGCACTGAAAACAATGGGACTTATTGCTAAGAAAAGTATCATGTTTTAATCTCACTGGAAATACAAACTGGAAGCACAAGATCACTGTGGAGAAAAGGCAGTTTAGCAATCAAGTATATGCTTTATATGGAAAAGCCCAGGGTCCTTTCCAGTTGCAAAATTATATGAAGAAAAGAGGAGTCCAAAGACTATTCTTTACCAATTAGTAAAACAAATGATGTGTTTCCTGCACTAGTCTAGATAAGAATATAGTAAGCAGGGGTGGGGAGAGGATTGCTATGGACATTTTTTTAAGCATAGCATTTAAAAAAATCAAATCTATTTTTTAAAAGAATGAATAATCCACTAGATTTTGCCTTTCTCTGAAATATGTAACAGATTTTCTCCCACAACATGAACTGATCAAAATATGCATTTAACACACATCTCCTGAAAGAGAGAAAAATGTATTTTAAAAAACTTGTTTAAATATATCTATTTTAGAGTTAATGTATGTTTTTTCTAAAACAAACAAATAATGTGTAACTTAAAATCCTACCTCTGTTTTGTGTATCAATTTTTTTGTCTCAAGGGCTGCATCTGTACTGTAAAAATAATGCAGTTTGACACCACTTTACCTGCCATGGCTCAATGCCATGGAATTGTGGAATCTGTAGTTTGTTATGTCACTAGAGCTCTCTGACAGAGAAGGCTAAATATCATACAAAACTACATATCCCAGAATTCCATAGCACTGAGCCATGGCAGTTAAAGCAGTGTAAAACTGCTTTATTTCTACAGTGCATATGCAGCCAGAATTGAGGATTTTGCAAAAAGTGAATTTTTTTTGCAAAATTCTCTGTGGTCAGGAGAAATTTGTAAAATATTCAGACTCCAGAGAGGGATTATAAAATGCAGCAGAGTGATTTTAGTATATATTCCCCCTGTAACAAACATGTCTGCTGCTGTTTGAAACAATGGAGTTTGAAATGGACAACCCAGTGTCATTTTTGAGAGCACTGTAAATAATACTAATAAAGAAGACAACCCCTATTTAAAAAAAAAACAAAACCTTTACTGGTCAGTGAGAGTTGACATCTTATTTTATAAGGATTTATTTTCCCCCTCAGTGGAAAATAAATGATATCTTTATGAATCTTAACTTGTGAGGAACAGGGGAGAGGACATGACAGCTCACAAAAATCCCATTTTCAGACTGCCATCATACATCACCACAAAGGAACAAAGATGAGCTTGCTACAGAAATAAAAAAAGGCTATGGAAGCCATATCTTCCATAAAGCAAGCCCCCACCAAAGACCAAAAATTTTAAGATTTTCTTTGACTTATGAAAAATACAGAGATTTTGTGAGTGAGTGTAGTTCATTTCTCAGCTCCTCTTATGGACACTTTTTTAAAACTATAAGAAGAAATGTGCCATATCAGACCAAAATAGAGGAAAGTTGTGCAACACTGTTTGTTTGTTTGTTTTGTATAAAACCTAGGATTTTCACAGAAAGAAAAAAAACTAGGGGAATCTAGAGGGTTGTTTTGTTGTTTGTTTGTTTGTTTGTTGGCATAGAAATGTGTTTCTCATACAAATGACACAATTTTAATACATACAAAAATGTTTTCCAGAAACAAAATTTCATGCAAAATTTCTGATTTGTGTGTGTGCGCGCGCGCACAAATTTGCAAATTTGCACAGAAAAACTTTTAAAGTTTTTTGGAAATGGTGGCTGGCATCCTATTAAGTATTCATAATATCACAAGCTAGAACCTTGTGAATTTTGATATTCCCGTTTATGATTGTGAAACCATTGCCACATTGGCAAATGCCCCTTAAAATACACCTTACAAACCATGAATCCAAACTAATCAAAGGGGTTCTACAGTGGTAGAGGATACATCCAGCCTTTTCCCACCAGAAAGTCACAGTGTGATGAGTATTTATGACAGAACCTTTTAGTACAAAAGTCCCATGTGTATTTCTGAGCATAATAATTTCCCGAAAAAACTTTTGAGATTTGTGCATCTCAGGCAAAAACAAACAAATGTGACATTCTTTCCTCTGTGCTATTCTTCTTATTTCCAAGCCACAGAATGAAATCACAGAGACAGTTCTTCTGTGCAAAACCAAGTTTCCTGCAGAGAAAACTCTTTTAAAAATCAACACCTATTTCATTGTTTTTAGACCACTTCCAAGCAATTTAGTTTCCTTTTGCCACTTCATACATACGTGATAGTTCCTACTATTAACCTACAGTACAGTTTAAACATTGAACTATTTACAGCTAGAATAGCCTGATTGCATTTTAACAAAATGCCCTTTGCATATCCTGTGGCATGTGCAAAAACAATCTTCCTAGCTGTGAACAAGATGTTACCTCTAAAAGTTTCCATCTAACGAGTTGGTTCCAAGAATAGAAGGGAGACAACGTCCTGGAAGACAAAAGG